GTGTGCTGGGCCTGAAGTCAGGGGTCTTCCTGAGTTCAAATCTGGCCTCAAGGCACATCCTCACTGTGTGACCCTGGGCAAGCCACTTACCCTTGTTTGTCTCAGTTTCCTCATTTGTAAGATAAGAAGGAGAAGGAAATGACAAACCACTCCAATATCTCTGCCAAGAAATACTCCAAATGGGCTCACAAAGGGTCGAATGTGACTGAAACGAATAAACAATAATTCTTCCTTTGCAGCCCCCCTCAAATGCTTAATCCTGCATGAAGCCTTCTCTGCCTACTTGTTCTCTAAACTCAGTATTCCATCTTCTACCCTTCTCTCAAAGGGCTCACATTCTAATCAGGGGAGATAACACATATCTGGGGCAGGGAAGGTTCAGCTGCAGGACTAAGTCTGAGAGTCAACTCAGGTACCATCCCTTATGGGAAGCCCTTCCAGAGCCCTCTCTCCCCACAAATTCTCATGTGTATTTTTGGTTTACATGTTATATCTTCCCAACAAAATGTTAAATTCCTTGACAATAGAAACTTTTGTTTTGGTCTGTCTTTGCATTCTCAACATCTAACATGCAATAAAGTGCTTAATAAATGCTTGTTGAATGAATCGCTAGAGATGAAAGTGATTCTTCTCATTGAAACTCATAATAATTTACAGTAGTCATATAAACTTATCACATTCTAAGTTTTATTATATTTATCTGTATGTATATCTTACCTGTCCCTGCTAGATTCCTTAAGGTAGGGGGGCTGTGACTTATTTATATCTGCAATAGCAACTCATGTTTCTTTAGTACTTCAATGTTTGCAAAGCAACTTTCTTACAATTCTGTAAGATAGTAAGTACAAGTATTATTATCCCCATTTTACAGATGAGGCAACTAAGGCTCTGAAAGGTTAAGTAATTTGTCCAAGGTTAATTTAGTATCAGAGCTGGTATTCACAACCAGATTTCCTAACTCTATGACCAAAGCTCTATGTGTGATATATACAATTTTTGTCTCTCACACAGCCTCTTAAATAGTAAACGTCTGCTGAATGAATGAATTTGAATGGGAGCTTTGAGTATTATCTAGATCTTGAGGAAGAGGATAGTAAACAGGCACTTACCAGTTATAAAGACTTCAAAACTGAGAACATAGACAAGAAGGAGATTGCTGAGCCTAAGTAATATCTATGGAAATAAGCCTGTACTTTATCCACATTTGTATGAATTTGTTTGTACATAGATAACTCTGTGTGAATACACAAATATACACATATATATGTACATGTCTTGAGGCAGGCTGCTTCATTCCTGACTTTCCTTCTTTCCATGCACTCAATGAACCAACTACTCTGGCCTCATTCCTTATCACAGTCCCTGAACATGACATTCTATCTCCTAATTTCATTCCTTTACAATGTCTGTCCCCTCCATCCCAAGAATACACTCCCTCCTGACTTTCATCTCTTAATTTCTTTGGCTTCCTTCCAGAAACAATTTGCATCTCACCTACTGCAAGAGGCCTTTTTTGTTTCCCACAGCTACTAGTATCTTCCACTCAACTTTTACTTTCCATCAACTCTCAAGATACCTTAGGGCTTACCTTGCCTGCACCACTCCCTTGAGCTCCCAACACCCTTTCTGGCCACTTACAGCCCTACAGGGCCTTTTCCTACCCTTTATACCTTTATACCTAAGGCTTCTGGGTACACACAGCTGCCTAACAATCTGGAATAACTTCATCTGAGAGGGAACCCCTATCGACAATGATAATATCCCTGAATTCATTTCTCAATGAGGAATATACGTGTGCACCATCATACCTACCCTATCCCAATGATTTTCAACCTCAAGTTGCTATTGTTGAAACTTCATTCTCTAGCTCCCACTGACTAATCTTTTATTCTCAAACTCCTCCAACACCACCCCACCCCACCACTTTCCACTCCAAAGCTACCCAACCCTTTCACTGTGCTTTCTGCAATGCCTGCTCAACAGGTAACAAACTTGTTTTCATCTTAAATCCTTAAACGTTTTTATTTTTTCCTTCCATCATCTTCTTGCACTCACTGAGACCTGGTTCCTTCCTGATGACCCAACTTTCCTGGCTACCCTTTCCAGCACTGGTTGTGCTTTTACTCATGGTGGGGTCCTTGTTCCCTACTGTTACTTTCAGGCTTCCCTCAACCACCAACATTCAATAACCTCTCTGCCTCTGAGGTTCATGCATTAATAATATCTTCCAAGTTTTTGTGATCCTTCTCTCCTGGTTCTCCTACCAATATGACCACTTCTTTTCAGTCTCCTTTGTTGGTTCTTCATCTAGATGAGAACTGCTAACCTTAGTGCTTCAACAAGACTCTGTCCTGGTCTCTCTTCTCTTTCTCCTCTATAGTATTTGATGTGGTGATCTCATCAGTTCTCATGGATTCAATTAATCTTTATGATGATGATTCTCAAATTTGCTCATCCAGCTCTAACCTCTCCTGCCATCTAGTCTGGCACCTTCAATTGTCTATTAGATATCTAAAACTAGATGTACTGTACCTTAATACATCTTAAACTTAATACATCCACAACTGAACTCATTACCCTGCCCTCTCCTCCACACCCAAACTGTTCCTTCACCTTCACTTTCTTATTACTGTTGAGGGTATCACCATTCTATAGTCAACAAGACTCCCTCACAAACTAGGTGTCATCCTCAATTCCTTTCTTTCTCTCAACACCCTTCATAACCAACCTGTTGCCTAGTCCTGTTGACCAGACCTTCATAACATCTTTCATATATGCCTCCTCTCCTTTGATGCTGTCACTGGATTAAGAACTCATTACCTCATACCTAGACCATTATAATAGCCTGCTGGTTGGTCTCCTTGCCACAAATTTCTTCCTGCTCTGTCCATCCTCCAGTCAAAATGATGTTCCTAAAGTACAGGTCTAACTACATAACCCCCTTACTCCTTACTTATGTGTTACTCCAGTGGCTCCCTATCACCTAAAAGATCAAATATAAAATCCTCTATTTGGAATTCAAAGCCCTTCAAATCCTGTGCCCTCCCTCCTTCCTCCCACATTTTCCAGTTTTTCACTCTCTTTCATGTACTCTGTGATCCAGTGACACTGGTCTCTTGGCTGTTCTTTACATATAACACTCTGTGTTCCAACTTAGCCTTTTCACAGCCTGTCCCTCATACCTAGACTACTTTGCCTTCTCATCTCTGCCTCCTGGCTTCCTTCAAATGACCTACCTCCTGCAAGAAGCCTTTCCTACTATCCCTTAATCCCAATGTCTTCCCTCTGAAACTGCCATGATTTACCTTGTCTACATCTCCTTTATACAGTCGCTTGTTTGCATGCTGTTTTCCCCATTAGCCTGTGAGCTCCTTGCGACCAGGGACTGTTTTTGGCCTTTCTTTGTATCCCCAGTGTTTCACACACTGCCTGGCACACAAGAGAGGCTTCATATACTGAATGACCCATTTTATATAGAACTGTCCGTACTTAGTTATTTTCATAATAGATCATAATGCCATTAGAAAGGCAACTCCTTAAGGGCACAAGCTGTTTTTGCTTTCTTTGTATCCCCAGCAGTTATCAGTATCTGGCAAGAGTAGGTACTCAATAAATGCTTGTTGACTTAAATGATCTTTTCTTGGGGCAAAGAGTAGGTTCCCTTCTGAAGTGGAGGAGAGAAACTTAAGGACTCTTCATATATGTTTTCTTTATCTGTAAAAGCAAAACTGGCTACATCAAAAAATGTAATGGGATATTACAGGAGGTAAAGGCGAGAGAACCACCTGTCAGGTACACACACTATAAAGGGGTTTCTTTGTCAGGCATGGGCTGAAGTAGCTGGTCTTCCAAAACTGAAATTTTAGGACTTTGTAAAAAATATGCAGGTTGTACCAGATGTTCTCTTACATGTTCTATATTCTACACCCTAACAATCAATGATTCTAGGGTTAGAGATATTTTCTAAGAATTCCATGAATTAGAAGACCCACAACAATCATATAATAGAATTTAATAAATAAGAGTGATTTTAATAAATATCTTAAACACTTATATTTCAAAAGTAAAGAAAATCTATTTAAAAAAAACCCAAACAAATCAATAAATGAACAAATCTATAGTCTCACCAGTAGATTACTAAACATCACTGGCTACTAACAGTAGGGGGCAGCAAAAGGATCACTACTGTTCCCATGGGCATACCCTTTAAAAAGACTAAGAAATGGACGAGTTACAAAACTAAGAATAGTGATTGGGAATTTACAGACTACTCTTTAACAAAAGGCAATCAACAGGAACAGTCCAATTTAGGTTTAACTAGATTTTTAAAAAAATATTTAAACTCACAAAAGAGAAGTGGCTAAAAAGCACAGAATGGGCTAAACTTCTAAAAAAGAAGGAAACTCAGAATTCTCATTTCACAGCTTAGCCAAATGCTGCCAGCAGTCTATTTCCTATAGTAAGTGGTTCAGATACAAAATTCTACAGTTCGCTAATGCAAACATTCCATTTCTGTCTTGGTATAAAAGAAAGCACTCTGGACTAGGAGTCAGGGGACTTGGCTTTTCATACCAGTTCTGTAACTAACTAGCTCTGTGACCTTGAGAAAGGTAGTTTACTCTTGTCAAATAATTCTGCATTTGCAAAATGAGACTAAATGATCTCTAAGATTTTCTTTCAGGTCTATGTGTTAAAGACTCCTTCAATTTAATATGCTGCGCCTAAGTCTCTTCAAGCTTTAATAATCTGTGTTCTCAAACTGTATATTCTACAGTCTCTTCCAGCTTTGATATTCTATGAGTCTGGTTGCAGGACATGCAACATCAACTAAATGATTTATTTCTAACTATGATGACTTATGTTTGGAGTTTTAATTATCAGTCAAATAATAGGTATCTGCAAACAGTATTCTATAAGATATGGTTAAAATCCAAGTAGGCTAGTAGAATACAGAGGGAACAGGGCACAATGTTACAATTAAAATCTGAGTAAATACTCACATTCGAACAAAGAGCGACTGTTTGGCTGCAAGACCAGGAGATGAATACTTCTCAACCAAGGCCAAAGTGCTAAAGCCAAATTTATGAATGGGCTCATTGGAATCCAGGGGAGGGAAGTCTGTGTCAACCTCACCGTCATCCTCAGCAATATGAAGACAATAAGCACTGACGTTGTCACTAGAAGGGAACAAATAGACATTAAATAAAGTAGGGCAAATAGGGAATGCAAATGAAGGCACGAAAACCCAGAAACCAGACTTGGAGAAAGATGAGGGGGTAAAAGTTGTGTTTCTGATCAGTAAGAACTGATTATTAGCCACAAATCCCACTTTAGCTGAGACACAAAAATGTTGACACTGAAAAGGGGGAAAAATTGTGAAAACGGTTTTTAATTTATAGTACTTTATTTGTTCATTAAAACTTTGAGTTCCAAATTCTTTCCCTCACTCCACTCCCTAACCTTGAGAAGGCAAACAATTTGATAAAGATTATAGATGTGAAGTCACGCAAAATATTATTTCCAAATGGGGGGGAGGGGGGGAGGAGGAAGAGAAAAAGTATTTTTTGATTTACATTCAGATCCCATCAGTTCTTTCTCTGGAAATGGATAGCATTTTCCATTGTTAAGTCCTTCAGAATTGTCTTGTATCACTGTATCACTCAGACTCAATCACAATAGTTTATAGTACTTTATTCAGCTACTGAATAAATGACTGAGTACCTACTATGTGAAAGTACTTCATGATGGATTCAAAGATATAGAAAACAGCCCCTGCACTCCAGAAGCTTATGGGTCTAACAGGAGAGATAAGACAAGTCCATGAATCAATAACAACAATACAAGGTAGTTTATAACAAGTGCCATATGAACAGTAAAGACAGTAACAACACTGATAGCTCATATTTCTGTAGCATTTTACAATTTACAAAGAGCTTAACTCAGGATAACCCTATGAGGTTGTTATATTCATTTCACAAATCAGACTAAGACAAAAGTTAACTGATTTGTCCAAAGTCATATGGCTAACAAGTAGCAGAGTACTCTAGTTTGGGCCCTTGGAATTCCAAATCTAGTGCTAGTTCATCTCAATAAAAATAGTTAATTTTCTACATTTCACAGCACTTTCCTGACAACACCCCAGGGATATATGTAGTCTAAGTATGGTTATCCCCATCTTCTTGTTCAGTCATTTCAGTCGGAACCACTGTGACCTCATTTGGAGTTTTCTTGGCAGATATTTATGTAGTTTGCCATTTCCTTCTCCAGCTCATTTTACAGATAAGGAAACTGAGCCAGGTTAAGTGACTTGTCCAGGGTCACACAGCTCATACGTGGCTGAGGCTGGATTTGAACTCAGGTCTTCCTGATTCCAGGCCCAGTGCTCTATCCACTGAGCCACCTCACTGCCCTATCTCCATCTTAGAGCAAAGGAAATTGAGGCTCAGAGATGAGCTCTTGGATGACTTGGAAGGTCAGTGCCAGTGCCAGGCTCAGATTTAGTTTTTCTGACTGAATCAAGAATCCTTTGTATCAAGTGTGCTAAACATCCTCAATACTCTTCCTACTACGCTATCTTGCCTCAATGCATAGTACTGTGCTTGGCTGAAGACAAAGTTTAGATGATTCTTGTTCCCTAATAGAACTTATGGTAATAATGGTAGGGAGAACACACACACATGCAAGCACATTAACTATAATAGATGAATAACAGATGAGTACTAGAAAATAAGTACAATAATTTGGGAGAAGGGAAAATTGCTTCATTCTAGGGTGAGCAAGGAAGATATCATGGAATAAGTATTATCAGAGCCAAGACTTGAGGTACAAGTTGGAAAATTCCAAGAATATTGTGGGAATAGGGTATAGTACAGTTTGACTAGAGCAGTTAAGATTCATAAAGGGAAGTAATTTTAGATAAGGTAGGAAAAGACTAGACTGTGGAAATTCTTTTTTTTTTTAATTTAACATTTTATTTTTACCCCAATTACATGTAAAAACAATTACATTCCTTACCCTCCCAAATTTTGAGTTCCAAATTCTCTCCCTTCTTCCTTTCCCTCCCCTCTCATTGAGAAGGAGAGCAATTTGATATACATGTGCAGTTATGTCAAACATATTCCTCTGTAAATCATGTTGTAAAAGAAGACAATGACAAAAAAAAAGAAAGAAAAAAAGTAAAGAAAAAGTATGCTTTAATGTGCATACAGATTTCATCATTCTCTGGAGATGGATAGCATTTTTCTTGGATCATTATATTGATGAGAATAGACAAGTTATTCACAGTTGATCATCATAAAATATTGCTGTTACTGTATACAATGTTCTCCTGGTGCTACCCATTTCACTTTGCATCAGGTCATGTAAGTCTTTCCAGGTTTTTCTGACAGCATCCTGATTGTCATTTCTTGCAGCACAAAAGAATTCCATCAAGTTGTTCAGCCATTCCACAACCAATACACATCTCTTCAATTTCCAATTCTTTGCCACCACTAAAAATACTACAATACACATTTTTGTACATATAGGTCCTTTTCCTTATTGTTTTTTATCTCTTTGGGATACAGACCTAGTAGTGGTATTGCTTGGTCAAAGGGTATGGATGGTATTATAGCCCTCTGGCATAGTTTCAGATTGTTCTACACACAGAGGTTCCCAAATTTATTTGGCCTATCAACCTCCTTAAAAAAAATTACTCAGTGCCCCTCTGGAAATCTACTTTCTTTAATCCTTTGACAGTTTTTTTTTTAAAATTTGTATCATTTCAAACTACTGCGGCCCCTCTGGACCTTTCCAGTGCCCCACAGGGGGAAATATCACCCACTTTGGGAACCTATGTAAATAATGCAGAATGGCTGAATCAGTATATAACTTTACCAACAGGGCTTTAGTGTCTTAATTCTCCCACATCCCCTCCAACATTTGTCAATTTCTTTTTCTTTTATATTAGCCAATCTGATAGGTGTGGGATGGTAGTTCAGAGTTGTTTTAATTTAAATTTCTCTAATCAATAGTGATTTAGAGCATTTTTTCATATGACTATTGATAGCTTTGATTACTTCTTCTGAAAATTGCCTGTTCATGTCCTTTGGCCATTTATCAATGGAGGAATGGCTCTTAATCCTACAAATTTGACTCTATTCTCTATATATTTGAGAAATGAGGCTTTATCAGAGAAGTTGCTATAAAATTTTTTCACAGTTATGATTACTATGTATTTCCCTCCTTCATATCCTCCCTCTGTTTATTCTCATTCTCTCTCTCTCTCTCTCTCTCTCTCTCTCTCTCTCTCTCCCCCCTCCCCTCCATCGTGTCCATTTTCAAAAGTGTTTTCCTTCTGGCTTTTACCTCCCTAATCCATTCCCTTCTATCAGCTGCCACTCCCCTCTCTTGTCCCCTTCCCTTCCTACTTTCCATAAGAGATCTCTACATTCACAGACTATGTTAGTTCCTCTTTGAGCCAATTCCAATGAGAATAAGGTTCATGTGCCCCCCAATCTTCCCCTCCACTATAAAAGTTCTTTTGTGACTTTTTTATGTCAGATAATTTACTTCATTCTATCTTTCCCTTCCTCTTTTCCTAGAGCATTCTTCTTTCTCACCCCTTAATTTTAGACAATTGTCCCATTACATTCAACTCATATCCATTCCCCCTGTATATGTATACTTTTTTAAGTGCCCTAATAATGAGAAAGTTTTTAGGAGTTACAAGTATCATTTTTCTATGTAGGAATATAAACAATTTAACTTTATTGAAACTCTTACAATTCCTCTTTCTTGTTTAACTTTTTATATTTCTCTTGAATCTTGTATTTGAAAGTCAGGTTTTCTATTCAGCTCTGGTCTTTTCATCAGGAATGTCTGAAAGTCCTCGATTTCACTGGATGTTCATTTTTTCCCCAAGGGATTATACTCAGTTTTGCTGGGTAGGTGATTCTTGGTTGTAATCCTAGTTCTTTTGCCCTCCAGAATATCATAATCCCTCGGATCCTTTAATTGTAGAAACTGCTAAATCTTGTGTTATCCTGACTGTGGCTCTACAATCTGAATTGCTTTGTTTTTAACTGCTTATAAATTTTTCTCCTTGACCTGGGAGCTATGGAATTTGGTTATAATATTCTTGGGAGTTTTCATTTTGGGATCTCTTTCAGGAGGTGATAAATTTATTCTTTCCAAGCTGCTGCTGCTTTTTTTTTTTTTAGGTGAGGCAATTGGGGTTAAGTGACTTGCCCAGACTCACATAGTTAGTGAGTGTTATGTGTCTGAGGCTGGATTTGAACCTTGAATCCAGGCCCCCGTGCTCTACCCACTGCCCTACCTAGCTGTCCCAGATAAATGGATTCTTTCAATTTCTATTTTACCCTCTGGTTCTAGAATCTCAGGGCAGTTTTCCTTGATAATTTCTTGAAAGATAAGTCTAGGCTCTTTTTTTGGGTCTCTCTTGGATATATTTCCCTGGTCATTTCCCCTCAATGAGATACTTAACATTTTCTTCATTCTTTTGATTTTGTTTTATTGTTTCTTGACGTCTCATAAAGACAGCTTTCACTTGCCCAATTCTAATTTTTAAGGAATTATTTTCTTCACTAAGCTTTTGTATTTCCTTTTCTACTTGGCCAATTCTACTTTTTAAGGAGTTCCTTTCTTTAGTGAATTTTTGTACTTCTTTTTCCATCTGGCCAATTCTGTTTTTTAGGGAGTTCTCTTCAGTAAATTTTTGTACTTCTTTTCCCATTTAGCCAATTCCGTTTTTAAAGGTATTTTTCTCTTCACTGGATTTTTGTGCCTCTTTTACCATTTAGCCTATTCTGTTATTTTCTTCAGTATTTTTCTGTGCTTCCTTTACCAAGCTGTTGACCTTTTTTCATAATTGCCTTGCATCCTTCTCATTTCTCTTCCCAATTTTTTCCTCTAACTCTCTTAATGTGATTTTAAAAATCCTTTTTCAGATCCTCCATGGCCTGAGGCCAATTCATAATTTTTTTTGAAGCTTTGGATGTAGGAATTTTGACTTTGTTGTCTTCTTCTGAGTTAGTGTTTTGATCTTCCCTGTGACTACAGTAACTTACTATGGTCAGGATCTTTTTCTGCTGTTTGCTCATTTTTCTAGCCCTCCCCTCTTTTTTTTTTTTTTTTAAACTTTTAACTCTATGATAACATAGGGTTCTGCTTCTGGAGT